TGCCATATGCCTGAGCACTGAAAGAGGAGTTTACGATCCATTCTTCAATGCATTATCGAAATTACTCTCAAAGTTTGTGCCTTAGAGGTGAAGCAATGCAAAAGCTGAACCGCCGGACTCCCGTTTGCATAATTGGCGGAAGATCTCTCGCACAGTGGACGAAACAGGGACCCTGGTAGGCATTGAATAAATCCGGACAAGAATTAAGCTGCGTGCCCACAGTGAAGCCTTCATGGTGGTATGAAGCGTTCGGCCGAACACTTTAGAATGGTTTTCAACCACCCATGCGCGATCTCCGACGCCGGCATTGACCGGCCCTCCCGATTCGAAACGAACAGTGATCTGGATGTCCTGCCTTCCCTACTAGAAACCATCCAGGGCGTACAACAACCCTGCAGCGGAAAAGTACCAGAATCCGATGCGATCTCCGCCGAGGTCTACGCACGCGGCGACCCCCGACTGATGATACAATTTACAAAAATTCCAGGAGATGTAGTATAAAGGACATGCTTCTCAGGATTTCAAGGACGCGGTCATCGTACACCTCCATAAGTGGAAATGGAACCGGCAACTCTGTGATACTTATTAGGAAGGTTTGACAGATTTGAATAATTCAGTGAAGAATTCGTGGTCTCGGTGGGATTTGAACCTACATCAGCGGGGAAGGCTTTAATACAACCAACGCTCTACCAATTGAGCTACAAAGGCTCACTGGAAGCCTTGAATTTAATCACACTTGGGTCGATTTACCCGCCCAGCCTACTGCACGTATGGAACCCACCATTAAGGATACAGTAAGCTGACTGCCTAGAGAGGATTTCCTAAGCAGTCATCTAAGATCCACCAGAATGACTACCAGGCTCACTTCATTATTAGAAGGTTTTTTGGCAGATTTTGTTGAGCGTTGGCTGTACTAAAGCCTTTCTCGCGGATTTAGGTTCGACTCCCACCGGGGCCTGTGAATCTTTCACGAATCGGGTCAACTGAACTCTGTGGTAATTACAGAAGCACCTCACTGGTCACCACCGCCGGGAAGATCATCGTCCGAATTTTCATCAATAGCCCCAACAGCCACCGTCTCCACTGTCCGCACTACCCACGCATATCCAATCGCCGCAGGGGCCTTAATAGGCCAAATGCGCTTCCACGAAAACCTGCGATAGAAAGTCGGTGGTCATGGCAACTCGCGTTGCCCCGTCACCCGAAGAATAATCGGGAACTGACACCAGACACCTTACTGACAGGAAGGTGCTTGACCTTCGAGGAATGCCTGTCTATGTTAAAGTTCTCAGGGGTAAAATACACGCAGAAATTGCGCACTTAAAAAAATCACAAATGCACATATGCGGCGGAGCATGGACCTTGTTGTTTCTGGATGCGCAATTTGTAGACTGACCTACAACACGGTACTCATACCCCATACACTCCAAGCTGCGAAATGTACTATCACCGGTCATCGTTGAGCCTCTGTGAACATATTTCCAGAATTTAGCGACAAAATCCTAAGGAATATCGTAGTTTATGACTAAGTTACCTATTGAATAGTCAACGCTGGCCAGTCTACTATTTTCCAGGTGGAGCCATAGTGGCGTCTGCAATGCCTAAGCTAAGGATGTATTATCTTACTCGATGGCACAGAAACGTGGGCCGTCTGCAATTACCGAAACGAACTGTTACTGGGGTGTTTAAAGTTAATTCATAAGAATGCATCCAGGAGACTCTTTATTAAGCCTATTTTGTGAGTGCCAGGTAAGCGTCTTCCAATAAAGTCTCTGTGTCTCTGTGATAACGGCACTCACAGAATGCCAGAACAGAAGCCCCGGTACAATGAAAATTTGTGGGTCTTCCCCAAATGCTGTCCATAGCGAAAGTGTCGGTTTATGCAGCATTGAGTTTCCTCTTTCCTTTTAACGTGGGTTTGGTTGTATGAGGGTTCCTGTATCCTCTCCGGGTTGCCGGGAATCGGATGACTGCTTCAGCGACAAGGATCTATGTTCTGCTGGCTATTTTTGGGTTAAATTTCCATTTCCAATTTGCGATGGTTTTATCTGTTCACCCGTGTCCGTGTTCTTTTCTCCAAAAACTCGAAATTCAATTATTCGTCTGGATTTGTGCAAAATTAACTTTATAACCGTTTCAGGAGGCATTATGGGTGTAAATTGGCATGTGTGTACTTGTGAAACAATTTGACCAGTGATGGTACTGCTACAAGTCCCACACTAATTTCTGCCGTTGTTGATATTATTAATCCCTCTGTTGCTATTGCTACTATTATGGTATAAGAGATAATTCATTTCAACCAAATCTCCGCTTTTATTGTTTTTTTTGTAGACGATTGGACGTACGCGACAACCATTGACGGGCTGCATATTTCTTTCCGTTCAAAGAACAACTTTCGTGGTTGCTCACGTTTCGCGTCAACATGCACTCTGATCGGCTACCGCCATTTCCCCAATGTTTATGTTACTGCTCCCTTGCGTTTCCTTAAGCATGGGTCATCTTCTGTCGTCAACCTTGCACCGCAGTTCCGGGATCAGTAACCATGACTGCCACTATCTACGTTGAATGCTGTACCTTGCAGCCACGGCGGCAACCGTTGCTCCTTCATTCTCTCTATACTCTCTTGAACGTCCGTCCACACGTGTGGCCGCTTGTCACACGTTTCTCCTTGTGCCCATCATCGGCCCAAACATTATCGTCCACCTATGTGTGTGTCCGGCTAAGGCAGCCTGCTATATATATAGCTCTCTCCTCTCTTTAGTTTATAAGGAAAAAAAATGGGCGAGAACTCCGCCGCACACTTTCGACGGAGTATATCCATGTTTGTGTGTGCTCGGTTGTGTCTATTCGGGTATAA